GGAGATGGACACAGGAGAGAAGGGAGAGATCTTTGCATCTCAGTGTGAAAACAGGTGGTCTGCATCTATTTTGGGAAGAGTCTGCACTGATCTAACTGAAAAATGTAATACATAAGCATATCTCACTGACCAGGTCAAGATTTGTGTGATCTGTAGCTAACTTCAGGGGAAAATCTGAAGAATACTGGATGCAAATGGCTAAACAGGAGAACATCGAACATTTAAGGCATACACCTTCTCTTGGTGTCATCTGCCTGGCAGCTTCAGAGGGAAGCAACTATATGCCAGCTAGGATATTGGCTCTGGACTTATATTCAGACACATTTTAAAATCAAGAAGTCACACAGGGAACAATGCAAGCTTTGGTCTATGGCCACTAGCAGGAAAGATTGAGAAAATGATGTATTATGATTTTATTTCCTGTCCTGACCAATATTAGAGTGTGGAGAAATGTAAACTAAAACCTACTACTTTCTGCTTTAAGCTTTTTTGTCAGGTTGAATTTGGTCCAAGGTCTGAGCAAGGGCTGTATTCAGCTCCTCCTTTATCCAAATCATTAGTTTAACTCCTTAACAGCTAATCTCTTCTTATCACAGACAGAGAAAACTGCTGAAATGTCAGATTATTCTGTCCATCTAGAAGCACATTGGGACAGCTGGCAACCCTCCTCCAAGACTGACTTACATATCATTCAGGGCAAAACCATACCTCCATCCTTCAGTTCTAATAAACATCTCTTCTCCCTGCTCCCAGGCTGTACTTTCAAAAGCCTTTCTTAAAGCAGCAATGCTCATTTTAAAAAACCCTCAGTCACAAATGCCAGTACATCTCTGTTGGTATGGCAACTGATTAAAAATAATCAGCCAAAACAAATAAAAAGGATGAGAGGGGCAGCAGAGAGGTGTGTGTGGTGGAGACAAGGTGAGATGCTAAAGCCAAAACTGCTGTGGAACGAAACATTGATAAAACAAAACCTTCCATATACTCTGAGCTAATATTCTCATTGCACCATTCAGAGTATCAGAGACTGGGTACCAAACTGGATTGCACTACTAACAACCAGCTAATGAAGAGTCTTCCCAGTAACTGCCAAGGCAGCTTATTTTCAGTGAGTTGTGAGAGCTGGGCCCATCTACCTTGAATTGATCCTCTTCTCCTTTTAATGTCTCGTATGCCTGTAAAGGGTCATGCTAACTCTCAATCTGGGAGTCCACATACCAACCCTGAGTGGCTTGGGTACGAGTGTCATCACATGGCAGCTCCTTCAGTACTGTGACCACCCTGTAACAGACCTTTGTAACCTCTTCACTTGTTTTTTGTTCTCATCTAGTGGATATTCCTTTACATAGCATGTCGGCTATATAAGTAAGGTGAGATAGATAGATATAGATAGATGCCCGTTCCCTGGAATAACTACCTGGGTCAAGACTTTGGACACGTAAAGATACAGACCTCTATAAAGCAATCAGTTGAAACTCTCCGTGCCCTAGAAACAACTATATGCACAGGATATTTATTTTTCCAGACCATGAGCTTCTTCAGTGTCTTCAATAATTTTCCATAACTTTGTAATGCAAAGCTGTGACACAATTTTGTTTCACCAAGCAAGTACATTTAGAGGTTTTATTGCAGATGATACCTCCTCAGGTGTTTGAGTTCATCCCTAAAGTACAAGTGTTTCTTTCACTCAAACACTTCAGTCCTCTGCCCTCAGTAAGAAAAACAAAGAAAAACTAGAGAAAAAGGCAAAACTGCAGGGTCTGCAGACATGAAAAAATGCTAAAATATTGCACATAGACCCAAAATTGGTAAACTGCATTATACAGCACTTCAGTAATTTAATTTTTCCAGTAAAACCAACAAAAGCATCTAAGCCTAATACACCTACGGGCATCAGGCCAGGTCATCAGAGATACCTCTACCTTCATCTGTGAAACATGAGTACATAATTTAGGCATGACATGTAAGTCATTCATCAGACCAGGCATGTCAGGTTGCAAAGGCATATTGTAGATATACGTCCAAGTGACCTTGGCATGCTCCCACAAATCACAGCCTTGCATACCAATGTGAAGAGCTTGTTGAGACATAGGTGTCTCTAAAGTTTAAGTCCTTTTTAATTGAGGGAAATAACACCATTTAACTCAGTTACAGTGAAACTCTGCTTCACATTAGTAATCTTCATAAACCTCTAACGTCCAGGTTCAGAACATATTCTGAAGCTGAAGTAGGCTAAATACTTTACAAATGAATAATACATTGACAAAATTTTATTATGAATCCAATCTGAAACAAAGCTCCTGAACTTCCCAGTGCAGGACTGGCAACTTTTAGAATTATTCTTGTCTTACATTGCAGCACCTGTCTTGTATAATGATCCAGCTGCCCAAGGTACTGCATGGTGGAGTCAGACATTTCAGAAGCATCATACCACCTTTGCTACCAACACTTACAATTTCCACAGCATAGCACTAGGTGCCCCTCATCAGGAAGCAGTCTCCCTTGCACTGGTACAGGCTTGTAGACAACCAAGGCATAGACCCCATCCCGAAAAGGTCTCAAACCATGTGTTAGTTCCAGTTTCATGAG